TAATTTAAACGAAGATTTTTAGATTTTATACTTATACCTATAAATACCACCACCACCCCATTCTAATAACATCTTTTAGCATGAAATATCTAATATGAAAAATCTATTAAAATATCCAATCCTTTTATCTGCCAACCAAAAAAACCCCAAAAAAGACCTGATAAGAGAATAGAAAAATAAAATTTGACACTATACAAGAAATTGTGTGTTTAACATTAAGTATGGTCTCTTAAGCAACTGGAAATCATTTGAATGCTATTGTTATTTAAATCTTTATAATTTCAGTTATAAATAGCCTTTATACCTACTGAACATACTTTTGAATACTATGATTGTGGTAGATTTTTGAGAATCTATTTGCTTATTTTGGAAAAAATCTAAAAGTTACTGTGTGGCTCACTCACAGAATTTACGAATAAAAAATAAAAGTAGTTTGGAATATTGGTAACTGGCATAATGTGAAACTTTAGTTTACATAAATGACTACAGGAAATCTTGTGGTTATTAAAGGTCCTAGAGACTATTTTTCAAAGATCCTTCTATAAAAGTCATAGCTTAAAATAAAATTAAACTTTTAAAAAAAAAAGCTCACCATCCATGCGATTTTAGCATTTTCAATTTTATTTTCAGTACAGTCAAGGCAATACAAAGTTAAACTGATCCAGAAAGCAATCTTTTACCCTCACCCGAGGGTGTCTTTATTGAGATTGAGAGAGAGACATCAATGTGAAAGAGAAATACCGACTGGTTGCCTCCCACAAGCGCCCTGACCGGGAACTGAACCCACCATCCTTTGGGGCACAGGACAATGCACCAACCGAGCCAGTGCCTAAAAGCAAATTTTCATATTACTCTTTTTAAGACAAAGCCCAGATTAATAAAATTGCTGTTATTTATATACAAAGCTAATTTCATAGATACATTAACATATATCCCTCTTCCTGCTTTGAAAAATCCCCTGTATCCTCTTGCAAGGAAATTTGGCATTGTGCTGTTTTTTATCTCCACACAAAACTCACCCCCCATTTGGAAAATTAGGGACTTTAAGCAATCAAAATTAACTAATTCAAAATGACTATGTCTATCTTATTAGAAACATTAACCAGCAGCTAGAGGAAATGCCTAGTAGACTAGACATACAGCACTAAGAAATCTAACTGTAATTTAAATAGATCTTGTTTTAGGAGGTGAAGCTAAACTCAAGAAAACTTCAAAGGGACTGAAACACTAGGGGGCAGCATCAAACTATTGGGACAGACTGGACACTCTAACTTAAAAACTTTAAGCTGAAGATTTTAATGAAAATTTTACTATTTAATGAAAGATGACTTTNGGCAGCATCAAACTATTGGGACAGACTGGACACTCTAACTTAAAAACTTTAAGCTGAAGATTTTAATGAAAATTTTACTATTTAATGAAAGTAAATAGGTTTATAAAACTTATAAAGAAAAAAAACGAGTTTTCTGTTTTGATTGCCTACACTTCTTTTCCCTCTTCTACTGTGTCCTGTTTTACATCTTGTGATTATCAGCCTAAAAATGCACTAGCAATAATGTCCTTTTGATATAAAACAACACAAACCCATGGTATTTCCATTCTTAAAGTAGGCACTACATAGACAAGGACTGGCATTTATATCTGAAGTACTTCTTTGGGCTAATGATAAATCTGTGGTGTACTACACTTAAATTTGATTAAGGAGCTTGACAACCAAGCTTTGAATTCACTTGTGTCATGAACATGTGACAAAATGCTGTGGAAAAAGTGCCCCTCAAGGATTTTAGTCAGGCAGGGAAAACAAGATGTGTGTATGTAATTGTAAGTTAGAAAATGCAAGAGAAGCAGAAAAAATTCTGTGGGTTATTACATATAAGAGAATAACAGTAGGATAACTATCACGGCAAAGGCCCAGAAGAGACCATTAAACCTCATTCTAGGGGTAACAAAGTATTGGGGGAAAACAGAAAGTAGTCTTTCAATCACTAAAAAACTGCAATATTCATTATTTTTAAAAAGGTAAAATTAATTATCTGCAGCCCTTTGGTTCCTATGTCATTTAATGGTAACAATAAACCCATGAGGTAGGATTTTTTTAGTACTTCCAAGTTCACAGATAAAAAAAAGATTAAGATAAAGTAACTTGTTGAAAGTAACCAAACTCGTTAATAATGGGCTAGGGTTTTGAACCTAAGTCTTACTCCAAAACTGTAAATTCTTGCCAGTACTGAGGGCAGATGAGAGGAGGGAACAGAACAAGGTAAATTCTCTTTAAAAGCAAATGGCCATTCCCGCTGAGTAATTTCCCTTGCTATGACCTATATTCTCCATATCTCAGTTTCCCTTGCTATGGCCTATATTCTCCATATCTCAGTTACCCCGCCCCCCCAGTAGTGCTGGAAGTAACAGTATTTGCATACTAAACTTGAGGCCTCTGAAAATACTTCAAATTAGGTGCTCAAAAAAGGTGAAGAACTGTATATAGTTTTTAAGCTGTTAGTGGAATGAATATAACCTAACAGGAAGAACAAGTACAGTTTATCATGTAATATATTACTGATGACACCTCGTAAGAAAGGGTTTCCCTAACAACTTCTTTTAAAGTAGCACCAAGTCCTCCCTGCACAGGAGTTCTTAACCAGGAGTCTGTATATTGAATTCAGGTGTGTTAAGTCTGATACGGAAGAAAAACACATTACTTTTAATCTCTGAAATTTAGTTCAGTTATGAATATAAGCAAAAATCAAAGTAATATACAGTACCTAATACTTATATTAGAAATCAAGTCTTTTAAAGATCATTTACAGTCCCTGATAGTTTGAATTAGTCATAATCAGACCTGCTATTTAATGCTTTACTGAAACACCGATCACTTCATCATACTTAATATTTTAATAATTATGTCAATATAATTGGCTTCTGTTGTAATCCTATGCATTTTGTACACTTAAAAATATCATTCTGAGGTTCACCNCTTAAAAATATCACTCTGAGGTTCACCACTCAAAAAAGTTTTAAAAAGTCCCTCCAGTAACATCACTGTTTTATTTTATTCAGATCACTGTTACTATGTATTTCTCTCTCCCTGCTAGAATATTCAGTGAGGGCAGGGATGTGGATTGTCTGGCATGGACACCCCAGGTCTTGAACAAGTGACAGAGGATATTCAAAATTTGTATAATAGGAAGTCCTTATGAAAGTCTGACTTGAGGACTGGTCTTAACAAAATTAACTACCTTCTAAATCTCCAGTACTTGCTTGTTCTTATGTAGAATTTAGAGACGAATCCAACACACACACACACGAAATTTAAACCCGTCACGTGCCAGTTTAGGTCCATCAAGAATGAGTCAGTTCCACGGTACTGAACAGCGAAATACATTAAATGAAAGTTAAAAACGACAGGATCACCGCCTTGCCTACCACTCTGTAAAAGTTATGAGCTTTAATGTCACTCTTTATTACTTAAAGCGGGGGCCCGGGGGAGCGACCCTCCCCGAGGCCGGCCCACGCGGGCAGGCGCCCACGTGAACGGCTCCCGCAGCCACGGCGGGCGCCCCCACGGCCCCCTTCCCGGCCGGGACCCTCGGGGGCCCCA